GGAAAATCAAATCAGAGGGATCCTGCTGGACCATTCCGGGAGACTGCGTGAAATAAAAAACACCAAAGGAATGGTTTCCGACATGTTGGCTACTCAGACACACCTAAAAAAGACCTTCAAATTTCTCTTTCCGAAGAAAGACGAGTGGGTAAGTGGATCAGTTCAATTCCCAGTAATGACCGAGAACGTAATGTACACAGATGGTTCGAAAACCCCTCTTGGAGTTGGTCCTGGTGTGTTCAGCAGAAAACCGAGGACGAAAATCTCTGTCATTCTCGGTAAGTATGCTACAATCTTTCAGGCGGAGGTCTTCGCAATTGAAATGTGTGCTAGGGAGTAGACGAATAGACCTCTCGTAGAAAAAAACATCAGTATTGTACCAGACAGTCAGGCTGCTCTTGAAGCAATCAATAAAGCCGACATCCTCGCCAAACAGGAAACCGAATCTGTGGTCATAGAACCAGAACCATACTTTGGGATCACTGCAAGTGCGGCCAAAAAACCTATCTCGGACTGGGCGGAGGGGAGAAGACTCACGTACTTGTCTAAATTACCAAGATTATTTCATCCGAAGGCGGTTTTGCCTGAACCATCGAAAAATATAAGCAGGCAGATCTTGGAATGGAGAAGGAGTAACCTGCGAATATATTTATACTTACCACTAAGATATTATGAACAAGCAATATCAGTTCTATTCTGATGAAATTTTTCAGTTGTTTCTGAACGAAAGAATATCACTTATAAGACCTCAATGAAACACTGAAATTGAACGTTACTGTTAGTTGTCAGAAACGTCGAATAATAATCTTTATTAAACGTATATACATATATATCTACTTATTCCGCGGTCTGCAAATCCACTTCATATCAACTACGGGCCGTTGATTGAGTCCATGGTAAATAGCAATTATTAAACGTCAGAAGTAATCAAAGCGGTGAATTATTGAATGTATATTGGTTGCTGTTTGGCTCTCCTCATACACGTACAGTCAGATGCAAACAACATGTTGCCGTTGGATGGTGTGATGGTGGATATATGCAGCAGTTTTAAGTTATACCTAGGTGGAGTTTCAAGTCGTAAGTATTGATTCATTCATTCATTTAAGTCGCAAGAAAAGTTGGCAAACATTCATCTCTTACGTCTTACTACTTGAAACCTATGGCTTTCGTCATCAGAGATCAACGTCTCACATATACGGTAGCAATCTATTGAAATATATGGTGAAACCTTAGCAGTGGCACTCGATATATTCAAGGCACTCGATCGAGTCACCACGGACTCCTCGCCAAGCTTCCATCTAATGCCTTGCCTCCTCAGCTATGTTCTCTGCTAGCTAGTTTTCTCTCAAACAGGTCTATCCATGTAGTGGTCGACGGAGTTCCATCTGACTCTCTTATCATAAATGCTGGTGATCCACGAGGATCAATTCCAGCACCAACACTATTTCTACTCCACATCAACGATTTGTTGAAAGCAACTTCATGTCCAGTACACAGCTTCGCAGATGATAGTACCCTTCATACCGCCTTCTCTTCCAGGGCAACATTAATATGGACTTGGCAACAATTCTCGAATGGGGATCCAATAACTTGGTAGATTTCAATGCAAACAAAATATGAGGATGCCTTTTCTCTAGAAAAGCCGATCTCAATCAACATGAGCTTGTCAGGAGTAACCATACCTTTGAAGACATCCATTTCGATGCTTGGTATTACTAGCAGCAATAACCTCTCTTGGGAAAATCACGAGAGATCAATTGGTAAATGTGCATCCCGAAAACTTGGTTTTCTGTTTCGGGCCAGGAGCTATTTCACTTCCAGTCAGCTCATCATGATCAATAAGGCACAGATCCTCCCTGTACTGAAATACTGTTCCCATATTAGGAATGAAGCACCCAAACATACTCTGAAACTGTTGGATTCTGACCAAAAAAGGGCAATTCGTCTCGTGGATGATGCCTCGCTCACAAACTCACTCACTTCTCTGGAACACCGTAGAAAATTTGGCGATCTGGTTCTATTTTATAGATATTTTCATGGACGATGCTTTTCTGGAATATCTTCGCACCCCTTCGTGGTCACTTTGGAGACCTGCAGAACATCTCTCTCCAAAGACTCGTTCATAAAACGAACAGAAAGGCTCTGGAACACATTGCCAAGGGAGGTATCTTCCGAGGCATGTTACCTCCTGAAATTTGAAAAGAACACCAATTCCTACTTTATTTTCCTTGGTTCTCTCGCATGTGCTGGCATTATACTATTGATTTGTTTACATTCGTTTTAATCAAATCAAATCCTAAACAGTTATTTGCAACTGCTGAATAATAGAAGGAAATAATTCTGTGTTACATAAAACATGGATAAAACTGATTCAATAAGCAAAATGAGCTGATGAAGGGTACTTTTCTTTCAATATGACAGTCCTTATAATTGCTGCATGAATCACTATTATCCCTTACAACTTAAGACTTGAAACTAACGACTCGAAACTACTGCATAATTCAACCATCAGCGCTCTTATAGCAAAAGTGACTAGAGGTGCTAATAATAACACCATCTAACCGCGACATGTTCTTTACATCTGACTGTACATATCAATATTGGCGATGCGGATGTGTGCCTCTGCGTATTCATTCCGCATGGATGAGCGATTTAAGTCGAAAATATGTGTTTTGTTTGACTGAATCATCGCCAATATTGGGAAAGTGCATTTCATTCGGAATTCACAATTCAATTCGGCGAATTTAATTATTGGCCTTCATAATAAACAAAAATATAAATAGAATATGAACATTACATAGGACGTGTCAGATACATGGTATATAAGTTCAACATTTGCAAGTATACCTTGGAACGTCTTGATCTTCTACAATTGAATGCATGTATCTGAAACGAATTTCATATCAACATTTTCATCACCAAAACATGTTCGATATCATAATCATAGGAAAGCTTCCATTTTTTATATGTTAACATACATTTAGTATCATAATACACATATTTTGCAAAATCATTTTTTCATTACTGAAACCAGAGATAAGTTAGGGTAACTTATCTCTGCTGAAACACAGGCGATTAACAAGTATGTAACACACCACGTACTATACAATTTCCAAGATTTTTCAGCAATATAGGTATATATTTCAATGCAGTTCAGGGATTCGAAGGGTTTCTTCATTCCCTATTTCAGGGAAAAAAGTGGTACTCTAAATCCCTAGGAATTTCAAGGTACCTTGAATCCCTAAGGATTTGAAGTGAATTTCTCCGCAATAGAATCTGAATTGAGAAATGTGTTTACAAAAATGGAATTGTGGCTTTTATTATCGAATATACGCTCCACAATGACGATGCTTCAAGCTTTTTCTACTTTTCCAAGAAATATGCTAGCAGTACCTTTCCTTCTGTACATTTGTTTTACGTTCCGTTCTTTGCACCATTCGATAAACTCAAGATAACTGTTTTTATATTGTTCTCCAGATTTTCCTGAAGACCAGTTATCAGGTCTCCAGCTTCTTGAGCTGCCTTTTCGATTTGAACCATTGCGATCAAAGTCTTTCAATCGGTGTGGCGTATTTGACTAATATTTATTCAAGTCGAAGCCCTGAGGAGGTAGAAGGACGATCTAGCCTTCATAGCCATCTAGTGGCTTAAGTGCAAGGTGTATATATAGGTAGATTCATCAATCATACCTCGCGACTAAGTCGTGCATATAGACCCCTACGTCTATATGCTTACAGAAAAGACATCCATGTCAGATTCTGTAGACTATCGCAACTTCTGCAATTCTCAAAGTGGTTTAATGTTCCACTAACAGATGGTGATAAACCTAGAATCTCAAGACTAAGAGATTCTAGGGAAATTTCGTGAATCGATTGTCAGCTGATGCAAGACAGACTGTTTCGACTTGCCATAAGTCTCATCAGTTGCACTGGCCAGCTGACAATCGATTCACGAAGGGAACCTCCATATATCAAACAAGTCGAAGCCCTGAGGGGGCAGAAGGACGATCTAGCCTTCATAGCCATCTAGTGGCTTAAGTGCAAGGTGTATAGGTAGATTCATCAATCATACCTTGCGACTAAGTCGAGCATATAGACCCCTACGTCTATATGCTTACAGAAAAGACATCCATGTCAGATTCTGTAGACTATCGCAACACCTGTAATTCTCAAAGTCCCTAGGGAGGATAGAGGGAGGAGGTAGGCGTTGAAATTTTTCTTCCTGTTGGAGGTTATAAGTTCTTGGGAATACTTCCATTGGCCAATAATGCCCAAGCTTTGGAATGGAAGTTCCACATTATCTTGTTCTCTTTACCCTTCAGTACTAGTTTCATCAACAACATTGTCCCCTTGTTCACAAAACGCAAATTCTGTGCTTTTCTCCATTGTGGTTATATATGCATAAGGAGCTGGTGCCCGAGATGAGTAGCTGACACAAGTAACAGAAATATCAATCGAAAATTCAGTATTTACAACGTATGTGCATTGATAGTAATTGTGTTAACTTCATTAGCTTTATCCTTCCACGAGCATCCCTGTCATATATTCATGTGTTGGCACATTTCACACATTATTGAACGGATACCTTCATATGCGAATATTGCAAAATCTGGTGATTCCGGGCCATTGATCCTGGAAATAATTGCCAATCGAAGGAAAAGACAAACTCAAACAAAGTTTATGCGTGAAAGTTGTCCCCAGCAGAATTGGGATTCGGTCAGAGATATGTTTATGGTAGAAACGTCGGGAAAATAACTCCCATAAAATTAATCAGTTGTGCCTAATCTGGCTATAAATCTCGACTAGCCGTTTTGTCGCACGAGAAAGTTTTTTTCCGAATGAGATTTCTTTGTGGAGTTAGCGATCTCTCGGATCTTTTGCATTCGAAAATAATCGTTTAATTTGAATTTATAACTATTTTATACAGATAACATGCTTTCCCGATCCATACGTCTTCTAAATAACCGTTGTTCGGGATTTTAAGTGCTCCAATTTTTGCAGGTTGCCGTCAAGGTGATGGATATCAACCAGATCAAGGAGGACTACGTCATCAAAAATCTTTGCAGAGAAGCGAAAATCATGTCGAAACTGAATCATCCCTGTATCGTCGCTTTATTCCAAACTATGCAGGTGAGTTCTCAATGTTATACTTTCCGTTAGAATAGAGTGATTCAATTATCCCACACCTGACACCATTTTTTGGGCATGAAGATAGTGTATAACATCTGCCAGACTAAATGAGGTATATGTCCCTCGTGCTCAGCTTCGTACCTGAACAAAAATCTTTTACGTATTCTTAAAATTATTATTATTAACCGAAAGCACTCTGCATTTTGATGATACAAATTTCACACGGAATACCAAATTTCTTCATTTGATATTACTGCCTTAGGCTGAGCAGTACAGTGAAAATTAATTTCACGATCAGAACATCCCAGCGTGATATCGTATTTTATTGTGCAGCAATGATGATGTAAGACCCATCTTATTTGTGTTTTGAAGTTCAGATTCACTGTGATCAATCATGGTTGTTTCTTTTCGTTTGATGCTACAGCAGAAAAGAACCCACTTTGGATGATTCTCCTTCGAGAAAGTAGCACTTTCTGGTCTAGCCCAGGAAGTACGTATTGCAGCTTACGTATTATATTTGAATGGAAGCGAAATACAAAATCGAAATACACAATCAAAAACATAATGTTTATGATTATCAACACAGATATTTCAATCAATCAAAAACGTGTATTTTGAGATGAATTGAATAATCAACTGAAACAATGACTCTCTGATCGTATCCAAAGTAGACCAAACATTTGATACTGTCTACACTGAGATGATTATAATGCCTCTGGTGTGCCCACTCTTCAATTGTTTCGTCAGACTCACTCTCGATATAAACGATTGAATGTGAGTTCGGTACGTGGGATTCTCAGATTCGATGATAGATGGCGTGATCGCTGGAGAATTTTTTGAAAATTTTCAGAATGCGTTTTGAATCTCCTTATGGAGTCGAACTAGATCCTCAAGAATGTGTTTTCCTTCTATCGGGACCTGAGGAGTCATGTTGATGAGGCACGAATTCAATAATTACTGAAAAGAAACATCAAGAGACAATCGGGAGTGAAAAAATCTTGATCTCAACTCGACATATCTGTCACTAGTGTCACGTGTCACGTTTTTTGATTTTTCATGATTTTGTTCAACTTTGAAATAGTAGCATAAATTATTATGCATGATAATTTATAAGAGCATCAGTAGTTTATTGAGCAAGTATTGAAATTATATTAGTTGAGTGAGTGTATTGTGCTTTCATCATGGACTGACTTTGCTGCAATGTGTGAGGTTTATTTGAAAATCCGAACATTCGTTTCATTTTATGTACCAAAAGTGAGTGAATAAACTATCATCACAAAATCTTCTTCATTCAAGGACACCATTGGAAGTCAAAAATATAACGCACCATTTCTATTGACACAAAAAATTATGAAAATAATAATGTGAACTCGAATGAATGTGGCATGATGACTGTGAATTTGGTTCGAAACTTCGGAAATTCATTAAGATTCTCCTACGCCTCACTGCTTCTACAAAGTAGGCGATATCGGGAGATTTTGAAACTTCGTTAAGAAGTGATAACACAATTTGACTCTCTATGCATCTATGTCTACACAACCGCCTCGACGATATTTCATCCTTCTTCATAGAGAGTACTTCCGAGCAAAGCGATAGCTCAGTTGACTGTGTATCTGACTACCACGCCTAATTTGCCTAGAGTCAGTGACTATATCCGGAAAATTCTCAATAAATTCAACAAATACCACATCGCTGAAAGTGACCTTACCCGGAATATGACCACAACGAGAAGGCATCACAACATCCGCAGAAAACATGGGCTGATATATGCATCAACCGATGTTTTTGAGGAGCCAGATAATCTATAGTCGGGACACCCCCCACAGTCCAACAACATCTACAGGGCTCTGAGGAGGGCCCGGACTGCACAATCCCCCCCCCAAAAAAACGCAAATAAAATAGTGTCAATGCCACTCAAGGAGTGACAAACTGACACTGAACTCGGTCAGACATGTGGACGCTCCTGGGCCTGATGACTGGCCTCACAGCCAGAGTCGGGTGCAGGGTGTGGGTAGGTCTGGCCGAGACAAAATCAGAAAAGGTTTTCGTTTTTTCAATTTTGATTTTCCTCCATCACAAAGAAGAACCTATTCATCACTGAGAGCGATTGATCAACTCCCTCACCCCCTTGGTGACCTCGATGAGACTACTTATATAAAGGGCTCGGCCCTAGGAGATAGGCCTCTGTGACTAACACCTCGCATATACACTCACATTCCTTGGCCAACATCAGCCACCTCTGCACCACGCGGAGGACACAGCACACAGAAGAAGTTCTGTTTTATGTTTTTTTATATCTATATGTGTTTGTAATTTGCGAAGTGATGTTAAAACTATGATGACAAATAAATGATTTAAAGTGTGACTACCACGCCGGTAACTCAGGTTAAATTCCTGCGAGGCCTAACGTTTTTAAATTTTTTTTTACAAGTAATTTAAAAAAAGTATACCCAGGAGAAAAGTGTATTTGAGCGAGTTAGGTTAGTTTGCTCAAAAATATTAGTCTTCATGTTTCACGCAGAAACAATATTTTCCTTCCTACCCAGCCAGCACAAAGAGGTCCTGAAGATATCTTGAAGAAATCCTTCTAGGAAATTGTGATGCCTTTTGTAACTTCTTTGAGAGATCGCCGAGAGTGCTATATCTAAGCCAAATGTCCGCGACCTTGAAGATATCGCACGCAGAAATTCTCATACAATGCCCTCAGGCGCGCACTTTGAGATATACGCTTCAATCGCCACTGGCGAGAACTGAAAGTGCTCGCAATCATGAGCTGTTTGAGAAATTCGCATACATTGCTTTGTGACGAGGACTTTGGGAGAATAACAACATTAACAATACAATTTTTTGACCCCATTTACGTTACCTACATCGATTGAAAATTGCCTCCTCCCATGTTCGTAAAAAGGTCCCACAATAAAATTAGATTAATTATTATACTAGGTAGGTACCTACCGTCTACAATGATTGATGTTCTGCAGTTCAAAATGGAATATCTGTCATTAATATTTTGAAACAAAAATTCAATCCATACTTCTTATCTGTGAACTTTGTCATTTGAGTAACGTAAAAAAGTCACAAAATGTTCATGTTTTTGTTGTTATCAAGAACAAAACACCAAGTATTTGCTATATCGTTGTATTCCAAATAGATTGACACGCGATTTTCAGAGACAATATGCTAGTAGAAAATAAAAACTGATCAGTATCTACCATCCGGGGGCTGCCAAATATAACACATTCTTCATAAGCCATTAGGAAGGTTATTTAATGCCATTTAATGCAGTTCTTTAATGCTTTTGATATCTTGACAAATAGGCGAGATATTGCCTGTAAACGATAACTTGGACACCCAGTATTTGAATTATAAAGCCTATTGAAAAAAACTACTCAATATATTTGTAGGAATATTCATTAATTATTCAGGTTATGTTTGTGATTACTTTAGGAGCTCGCAATGGGAAATGCTCGATCTTGTTACGTCCAGGATATCCTTGGGTGCTCGCAGAAAGAAATGCCTATTCATTTCCTGTTATAGATAACCTCAAGGATTCGCAATAATGAGGAATATATCAAATCTGAGGCGAGATCTCCGCGATTTCTTTCGGACGACTCCAGAGAGTATTTCCCATGGTGAGAGCCTATAGTGAACTTTGGCACCTCGCAGGAGGATTTCGCATTTTGATCCTGAAGATAACTACTTAGAGATATTGAAATTGGTAACCGCCAGCGGCTGTTTATGTATCAGTATCCAACCGTCGCGGCGGTTGAGTAGACGGAGCCCAATCATTTTCACGGACGAAGCATTCAAAATTGTCGTAGGGTGCCTAGGACGTCCAATATGTTCAGGCATATATACACCACCTCGCACCCAGTATATTCGTATTAAGGTTGAGTTATTGCGTAGGTGCCGACGCAGATGCAGAATTTCCTCGAGAGAACCATCGTCGCGAGTCCCATAAACCCGTTGCGGCGGGAAAGTCTGTGCACACGGAAGCAGGAGAACGCAGGGCGATGAAAAATTCACATCGACAACGAGTGTCGCTTTTATTGATATTGCTGTTTATGAAGGCCGTTTTTATTCTCAGCTACTTAGGAAAACAGGTGTGCGAGGATGCAGAACGGAAATTGAATTGATTGTTAGCTCGGGAAAATGCATGGAAGTTTTTATTTTCATGTTCTGGTTCCCACGAAGAGGGATACCCAGTAATGATCAGAGAACATCGTGAGAACCAAGGGTAATATGCCTCGGGAAACACCTGCTTTGGCAATGTCTTCCAGAGCCTCGCTATTCGTTGAATGAACGAGTCTTTGGAAAGAGATGTTCTGCAGGTCTCCAAAGTGACCACGAAGGGGTGCGAAGCATCAACTCGACGGGTTAATCTCGCGGGGACTGCCAAGGTAGGAACAATTGTTGATATTTCAGAAGAGCATCGTCCATGAAAATATTTATAAAATAGAGCCAGATCGCCATCTTTTCTACGGTGTTCCAGAAAAGTGAATGAGTTTGTGAGCGAGGCATCACACACGAGACGAATTGCCCATTTTTGGACAGAATCCAACAGTTTCAGGGTATGTTTGGGTGTTGCACTCCTAATATGGGAACAGTATTCTGGGACAGGTCAGATCTGTGCCTCATAGATAATGATGAGCAGCTGACTGGAAGTGAAATAGCTCCTTGCCCGAAACAGAAAATCAAGTTTTTGGAATGCACTTTTAGCAATTTATCTCAAGTGATTTTCCCAAGAGAGGTTATTGCTGATAGTAATGCCAAGCATCTAAATGGATGTCTTCAAAGGTATGGTTACTCCTGACGAGCTTATGTCGGGCACAGTGAGATCGGCTTTTCTAGAGAAAAGGCATGCTTGTGTAAAGATCATAGTTCGACGAAACGTATAACTACCAAGAATTTTCATGCAGGATGTCCGTGGAAAGTGGTAATGTTGGTAACGTCTTCTTCCCTGAATGCCTTTGATGTCATTTTCATTTTGAGCCAAAAATTGGTCATAGTTCGAAATATGAAACAGAATTATTCTCGATAACAACTCGGGTACCCGAATATTTGATGAAATATCAATTTCAATTTCGTTTCTTCAGCGAAATGAAACTTGAAAAACTCCATAGTGTTCGGCGAACATCAATCGTACCATTCGTACCTAGGGAGGATAAGGAGAGGAGGTAGGTATCGGAATGTTTCTTCGACTTTTGCGGGAAAGTCCGTGCACATGGAAGCAGCAGGAGAACGCAGGGCGATGAAAAACTCACATCGACAACGAGGATCGCTTTTATTGATATTGCTGTTTATGAAGGCCGTTTTTATTCTCAGCTACTTAGGAAAACAGGTGTGCGAGGATACAGGACGGAAATTGAATTGATTGTTCGCTCGGGAAAATGCATGGAAGTTTTTTTTATGTTCTGGTTCCCACGAAAATAGTCAGGCGGCCATTCAATCTTCAACATGCACTAAAATCAGATCAAAATTGGTCTGGGATTGCCTTCAAAGCCTGCTAACCCTGGCTAACCACAACAAGGTAACTTTTAAATGGGTGCCAGGGCATAAGGGAATTGAAGGGAATGAAACAGCTGACGCTCTTGCAAGGGTCTGCAGCGTTGTTTATGGGACCGGAACCTGTGTTCGGTATCCCCAAAACCTCAATACGCGGCTGGCTGGCGAGGTGGATGCAAGAAAGACATCAGGCATACTGGAACAATGTCCCAGGACAAAGACACAGTGAACTGATGGTTGGAACACTGTCCAAAACAGTGACTAACGACATTCTGAACATAAACAGAAGTCAGATCAGACAAGTGACGGGTCTAATAACCGGTCACTGCCCCTTGAGGAAACATATGCATCGAATGGGCATCTATACAGACGAACCCATATGCAGACTATGCAATGAGGAGGAGGAAACTGCCACCGATATTGGAGTGCGAAGCACTAGCGCGTTGGAGATACAACCTTCTGGGAGCAGTAAACTCTCAAGAGGCCTTTCCAAAGAATGATTTGGTGAAGAGGCTGCTTAACCTTATCAAGGTAGCGAACCTGTTCACCTAAGTCGACAGCATGATCAGGAATACAATAGGCCCAAAGGCTGCAGTGTTTTGGGCGTCGAACCCTGACTGATCATTCTGCTATTAATGAGTCAATCAACCAATCCCACGAAAAGGTATATCCTGTAATGTTCAGAGAATATCGTGAGAACCAAGGAAAATAAGGTTGGAATTGGTGTTCTTCTGGAGGTTATATGCCTCTGCGAACACCTCCCTTGGCAATGTGTTCCAGAGCCTCGCTGTTCGTTGGATGAACGAGTCTTTGGAAAGAGATGTTCTGCAGAACTCTGGAGTGATCACGAAGGGGTGCGAAGCCTCAATTCGACGGGTTAATCTCGCGGGGACTGTCAAGAGAGGAACAATTGGTGATATTTCAGAAGGCATCGTTCATGAAAATATCTATAAAATTGAGCCAGATCGCCAACTTCTCTACTGTGAATTGCCCTTTTTTAGACAGAACCCAACAGTTTCAGGGTATGTTTAGGTGCTGTACTCCAAATATGGGAACAGTATTCCAGTACAGGTCGGATCTGTGCCTTATAGATCATAAGCACCTGACTGGGAGTGAAATAGCTCTTGGCCCGAAACAGAAAAACAAGTTTTTGAGATGCACTTTTAGCAATTGATCTCACGTGATTTTCCCAAGAAAGGTTATTGCTCATAGTAATAGCAAGCAAACAAAGTGTCTCATTTGATCCTAATGAAACAATGTACTATTCTTTCTTAGAATAGAAGAATAATTTGTGAATCATCTGACAGAAAACAATTACTTCCCTGGCCAATACCACAGAATATGAATTATATCTGTCGAATATTGGAAATACATCTAATATTCAAATTTTCAACAGACAGCAATCATTTTACTGACTGATACCAAAGAATATTGACTTATATCTATTGAAATGTATCGAAAAAAACTAATATATGTAATTCTGACTTTTTTGAGAAAATATGTCCATTTTCATTGTTATATATTTACCATTACCTAGAATCAATTGATTCATGTGTTGAATCAATAATCAAGTACATTATTTCATCAAAAACAATAATGATGAGGAAGGGTAGTTTTATGTCATCTGTTGAAGCAATAATCAAGTACATTATTTCATCAAAAACAGTAATGATGAGGAAGGGTAGTTTTATGTCATGTTGAAAATATAATATACACAAATGTGAATTAACCATAATATATTATCTCTCATAATACTGTTTATACAGCAGTTCATTAAAATTCCTGAGAGATAGGTGGGGGGATTTTTCATCAAATGAACACACCACTTCTTGATGGAATAGTTATCCTAATCAGAATCTCTCATAATATCCTGAAGTAATATCTCCAAGATGGCTAGTAAACATCAATAAGAAGGGATGCACTCACAAATAGTGTTTTCATGAACGGATTCTTCGGATGAGAACTGTTCGCTTCCATATACGATTTCCTGTATTCGGGGAGATGATTTTCCTGATTGAAAAATGTATATCGAATATTATATAATATTGCTGGGAAATAACTTCCTGCAAGAGTGGAAGCGATTTCCAAGCGCCACAAAAAGCATACGACCACTCTTAGGATCATCCATTAAACACCAAATTGAAACAGTTTCAATAGTCTCCTGAATATAATCGAACAACTCTTCATCAAAACTGGTTTCTTCTTATTACAGCAAAGCTTTGGAATTATTTGCTCAAGAACTCATAGCGTTCGAAAGTTCTATTATGCATCTGCAATGACATTTTTACAAAAACATTATACCTTCCGAATATTTGAGACGTAGTCAATTATATTGGGGGAGTAGATGAAAATCACTGGAACGCTTGCGATAATGAGCTGAAATTCTATGCTTATTCATATGCGGCAATAATTCCAGTTAGAGTCTTCATTATCTAGTCCTCATTTATTTTTATTTCAATCGTGTATAACAACAGCTAATGTTACCTAATTAAACAAATATCACAATGTGACCCAACATTATCGAAACAAAATTCATCCCACACCCATACCCAAGAATTTTTCGTACATCCGAAAATCATCCCACTTTTGGAAGTAATCCCACATCTGGAATTGTACTCTCTTATCTTGAGAAACTCATGAATAAATCACATGGAAACACATGTCTCCTCTCCAATTATACCCTTTCTTATCCCAAACATTCCAGCATAGCCGACCTGTGTAGATAACATCCTCGCATCGATTAACGAACATCTTGGTTCTCTTCTTGAATACGATTAATTATACCGTAAGTTCCTCCAAGTAGCAGCTACATCTCTTCGTAGCTGATAAACACACGCAACACCTTTTCGAGTCCCTTTTGTCCTGCGATGTTATCGAAGTTTGTAGTTGAAACATTGACGCATTAACAACGCGACATTGTTAAGCCGAGGATTTCAGTTCGAAAGATTATAATAATAATAATAATAATAATAATAATTGCTTTATTTTCTCAGATTAATTTGCACACCATCAACAGCTTGGTAATACAAAAGAAAAAGAGTAAAACGTCAGTAAGAAGCCAAAAATATACATGTAACATAAATATTGAAAATAGATAAATTGTCAAATATAAATAAATAAAACTGGATATAGAAACACCGCACAAACACAACAAATGTCATAAATTACGAATCACAAATATGTATAAATGAAATTGATAGTAAATGTATATGAAACATACACATACCTACATACACATACCTACATATGGCTAATCATGACAGGAACTCCTCTATGGTGTAGCAATTTTTCGACAAAAGTATTTCCTTTAATTTTTTTTGAAAATGTTTATATTTCCTAAAATTTTATTGTTATATCTGAAAGTTTGTTGTAGAGTGTGCAACCAAGGTATTCGAAACTCTTTTGATAGAATATAGGGCGATGTTGACTGGGAAGCATTTGGTATGCATTACGTGTACCGTAATTGTGTGCTGATCTATTGGCAGCCAGTTTGTTTTCATTGCGGTATACAT